CCCCAAAACCCCAAAACCCCAAAACCCCAAAACCCCTATTTCATCTGAATAAATTGATTCATCTTCAGAAAAACTAATAATATGTAAGTCCTTCTTGTGCTCTGGTATTGTATTGACCTGGACCAGGAACATCGGATTTTTGATTCTTATCTCTTAAATCCGTTCCAATTTTAGGACCTTTGTCATATGGCATGCTAATCAAGTATTGGCCTGGCCCTGGAGCTTCACCTCCCTTTGGCATTTTACTCCTTTGTTCATTTCCAAATTTAATGCTTCCTCCATGTTTCTTATCAGGAGGTAATTCTTGAGTATAAGTTCCTGGACCAGGAGCTCTTTCTTTTATATTTTCTTTATATTTCCCTTGAATCGTTATGCCCTTGTTTTCATTGGTACCGGAAATTGCATAATTTCCTGGGCCTGGTGTGCTATTCGCAAATTCTTGACTTCTCCTATCTTTTCCAAAAACAATACCAGGAGAAGCCTTTTTACCAGTGTTAGGGTCAACAGTATATGCTCCTGGAGGAGGATTTTGGAGAGTATTTTTATTTAACTTTGTTCCCTTTTCACCTGTTCCCATTGAAAACTTTGGACCTCCAATAGTAGAAGGAACTTGATATTGACCCGGCCCGACTTGGTTTATGTCTTTCTTTTCTTCATGCCTACCTGATATTATGACATTCTTTCCTTCATTTCCTACTTTTGATGGAGGATTATATTGACCAGGACCAGGCTCATCTTTATTTTGACCAAGATCTTTCCTTTTATCATGGCCAAAACTGAACCCACTTGTGCCTGGCCTTTCTGGTGATTCATAGGCGCCAGGTCCTGGCATCCCTTTACCTGGGATTGCTTGATCTCCTTTTACGCCTCCAATGCTAAATGCTGGCCCTGACTTATACTTTGGATCTGCATTTGGCATATACACTGCAGGACCAGGTGACCTCTCTGGAACTCTCTCTGGAGTCTTCCCTGCTATCAGGACTCCTCTTGGCTGTAAAGTCGACCTCGAGTCGTATTGTCCTGGGCCTGGCATGCCGTCTCCTTTCAGCGGAGATGATTTTGGGTTGCTCCCAAACACAAATCCAGGAGACCCTTGAGCCACGCTCTTGTCATTCGGATTATAGGTTCCGGGAGGTGGCATCTTCGCTTTTTCTCTCAGCACAGGGTCTTGAGTGCGGTGTCCAGACAAACTGTAGGCAGGCCCATTTCGCTGGTTTGCAGATCCGTATGTGCCTGGCCCTGGAATTTCATCGGGCTTTCTGTCTTGGACTCTACCAGCTATAGATTTGCCTTGGGAGTCTTTGCCAACAAACGTTGCTTGTGCATACTGGCCAGGCCCTGGGACTTCCCTGGCTCTTCTCTCAAGACTTCCATCATTGCGTTGCCCTGCTCCGAATGAGTACTGACTGGCGTCTCCAAGTTTGCCTTTGAGCTCGTATTGGCCAGGGCCAGGTCCTTGAGCTTTGCCAGCAAAGTCACTTCGCTGTCCAGAGCCCATCACCGTACCTGGAACTCCGTGGATGGTCAAGTCATCTTTAGGGTTGTAGTTACCTGGGCCTGGCTTGAGATCTCCTTTGTGGTCTGAGTATCTACCTCTGATCCCGTAAGCGGGAGCCTCTGACCCTGCAGTTCTTCTGACATCGTACTGGCCTGGTCCTGGCATCGAGTTGTCTCCGACGATTCTAGTTTTAGAAGGTGTGCCGAAGAGCATACCCGGAGTACCCTGCTTCACTTTCTTGTACTCTGGGTCATAGTTTCCCGGCCCAGGCATGCCTTGGCCAACCAGCTGCTTAAGTTTGGTCTTGACTCCCATCGAGTAGGCTGGAGAACTGTGAAGACTCTTTGATTGATAATGACCAGGTCCTGGCTTGAAGTCTTTCTTCGAAGTTTTGGGGCGTCCTTTCATTGAAGCTGCTTTTGCATCTCTGTAAAGAGCGTCGTTGATGGAATACTGACCTGGCCCAGGACCTCTGTTAGCTGCTCTTTCTTTCCTGCCTGATCCGAAGCCAGCTCCGTAAGTTTTATTTCCAAATGACGAATCGGCTTTGTAAGCACCTGGGCCTGGAGCGTTGTTGGCTGCCAACAGATTACCCTTCTGTCCAGATCCAAAAGTGGCACCTCTGCCTCCGAAAGTTGACCTCATAGAGTACTGGCCTGGACCTGGGCCATCCTTAGCTCTTTTCTGCTGATGTCTGGAACCGATATACCCACCTTTACTTCTTAAAGAGGTTTTCTGCGAATAACTGCCAGGTCCAGGGATACTGGATTTATCTTGATAAAAAGTCTTTGACATCTTGCCACCAAATGAATAATTAGGAGTTCCATGCTTATTTATAGTTATCATTATATTGTCCTGGACCTGGTCCATCTCTTCCATACTTTTCTGCTGCTCCTTTTCCCTTTATAGACCACTTAGGATTTTGATATCTCACTGCATCTATTCTTGTATCATTATAAATCCCAGGTCCTGGCAGTTTCTTTGCTTCTTTATTATTTAAAGAACTCCTTCTTGCTTTACCCATTGAGTAAGCAAGGCATGATTGCATTTTACTCATTTTTATTTTTTAGAAAATAAATTTAAATAAAATTTTCAGTTATGTAATTTTAATCGGGGTTTTGGGGTTTTGGGGTTTTGGGGTTTTGGGGTTTTGGGGTTTTGGGGTTTTGGGGTTTTGGGG